TAGGTTTCTTAACCAGAGACTCTTTCCATCTTCTTTTAATACTTCCTGGATAATTTAATATTCTGTCCAAAGCATCCTTAGGTATTGCAATTTGAGGTTTGAATTTGTTTTTCAGTATCTTCAGCTTAAGAAATGCTGAGCGAGTGTGGCGCTTTTGATTTTCTGACTCTAGCTCCTTGCACTTCAATGTGATACTTTACGTTGTCTTCCCATGTTGCCTTTTAAAATCTTCTGTTTAGCTCCTTAATATATTGATTTCTCACCTCTTCTTTGGCTTCTTGGCACTCTAGGGCAATATTCAGTCTCTTCTGACATCCATTTTGGTCTTTTCTTCCTCCTCTGTCTTCACTCATTAGTGTTCAAGGCCTCAAACTTGTTCCTGAGATGGTTTTGAAATTCAGGTAAGATAGACTCAAGGTCATATTTTGGTTTCTGTGGATTTTATTGGATTTGATTTAATTTTCCTAAGCCTCAGCTTGAATTTTTTAATGAGTAGTTGGTGGTTTGTTCGACAATCAGCACCTGGCCTAGTTTTCACAGCTAATATTGAGCTTATCGAGCAGTTCTTTCCACAGATGAAATCAGTTTGATTCCTATGCATATCATCAGGATAAATCCATGTATATAGCCTGTGTTTGTTTCTTATAAAATGTATTTGAAATGAATAGTCATTGATTTGTGATTTGTGCAAAATTCAATCATTCTATCTTCAGCTTAATTTCTGTCACTGAATCCATGTTTTCTGACTACTGATCCTTCTCTGTTTCCAACTTTTTCATTCCAGTCACCCATTATTATTAATGCATCTTGATCGCATCTTGCTTGACTATACCATGGACTGCTAAGAGAATAAAAAAGTTCAACCCAGAGAGGGTTAAACCAGATTGCTCCTTGGAGGAAAGGATCCTGAAACTTCATTTGACATGCTTTGGCCATGCTGCAAGGAGGGACCAGTCCTTGGAGAGGGATATCATGAGTGAGAGGGTGGAGGAACAGCGCCGGAGAGGAAGACACTCTATGAGATGGATTGATTCAGTGACTGGGGTAATAGGGGTAGGTCTGTCGGAGACAGTGAGATTGGGACAGGATAGAGCAGGTTTTAGGGCTGTTGTACATAGGGTTGCTGTGAGTCTCAGGTGACTTGATGGCACATAACAACAAAAACAAGAACCAGATACTAATATGTAAATGCAAATTGAGGACAAAAAATTGAAAATAAGTTCATGGGAACCAGGATATTATCTTGATTCTATTTCATTTGAATTTCAAAATCATTCTAGGAATAGGTTTGAGGCATTGAACACCAATGACTGAAGACCAGATGAGTGTGGAATAATATCAAGGATATCAACCAAGAAGAAAGTAAAAGGTCATTACAAAACCAGAGGAGCGAGGAAAAACCAAAATGGATTTCAGAAGAGACTCTTAAAATTGCATTGGAGCAATGAGAAGCTAAAACAATGGGAAAACATGTTGAAGTAAAACAGCTGAACAGAAAATTTCAAAGGGCAGCTCAAGAGAACAGTGCAAAATATCATAATGTAAGGTCTGAGAGCTGTAATTAGAGCATGTAAAGGGGAAAATTCACTCTGGATTTCTCAAGCTGAGAGAACTGAAAAATAAATTTAAAAATCAAGTCACTATACTAAAAGATGTTATAGGAAAAATAGTGAATAACCCAGAAAGCATCAAAAGAAGATTGAGGGAATTCACGGAGTCGCTGTAACAAAAAGAATGGATTGGCACTGAAAAATTTCCCAAGGTACCATATGAAAAGGAGCTAATGGTAATAAAGAGGGAAGAGGAGCTGTGTTGAAGGCATTGGCAAAAAATAAGGCCCTATGAATCAATGGGATACCAATTGACCAATTCAACTAACAGAAGTAGCCTTTGATGCACTGACTAGTCTATGCCAAGAAAATTGGAAGAAACCTGTCTGGCCTACAGACTGGAAAAAGTCCATATTTATTGCCATTCCCAAGAGAAGTGATCCAACAGAATGTGGAAACTATCAAACAATATTATTAATATTACATGCAAGCAAAATACTGCTGAATATCATTAAAAATGGCTGAAACAGTATATAGATAGGAAACTGCCAGAAGTTCAAGCAGGGTTTACAAGAGGTTGTGGAACTTGGAATATCATTGCTGGTGGCAAATGGATCCTGGGTGAAAGTAAGGAATATCAGGAGAATTTATCTTCATGCTCTATTGACTATGCAAAGGCATTTTACTGTGTGGATCATGAAAAGTTGTGGCTGACACTGAGAAAAATGGGAGTCCCAGAGCAATTAATTGCACTCACGTGAAATCTATACGAAGACCAGGAGGCTGTTTTGCGAACAGAGCATGGGAATGTGGCATGGTTTAAAATTAAGAAGGAAGTGTGTCAAGGTTGTATTCTCTCTCCAAACCTTTTCAAACTCTATACTGAGGAAATTATTTGAGAAGTTGGAATGTATGAAGAAGAATGTGGTATGAGGATTGGAGGAAGGCTCATCAATAGCTTGCATTATGCAGATGACACCACCTTTCTTGCTAAAAGTAAGGAAGACCTAAAACATTTGTTGCAGAGGATCAAGAAAAGCAGCTTTCAGTATGGATTGCATCTCAATGTCAAGAAAACATAGATTCTTACCACTGTATAAATAGGCAAGATCACGATGAATGGAGAAGAGTTTTTAAGTGTCAACAACTTCATCTTACACAAATCTACAATTAATACCCTTGGTTCCACAGTCAGAAAATAAGAAGACATTGTACTGCAAAAGTTTTCAATTAGGGATCTCACCAAATTATTGAGGAATAATGATGTCAGTTTGAGGGAGATGATGCTTGGAAGGGTGGAGGGTTAGCAAAGAAGTGGAAGACCTTTGACCAGATGAATTGACACTATGGCTGCTGCAATGGGCTCTATGTGTCAGAAAATAGATGGCATAGGATAGGACAGGGTTTCCGACCTGTTGTTCATAGGATTGCTATGAGTTGTACTTGATTCGAGGACATCACACCATCATTTTGTATGTAGATTTTCATTACGGCTGTATCCTTTTGTTCTATTGACCCTTTAAGCGTTATAATGTCCATTTTCA